TGCTGACTTACATATATTGACACAATGACCTATCTGAATGTATCTGTTTATTTATACATATTGTAACAATGACCACCTAGCTAGTCTTCTAAGTATGGTGTATACATTATATTGTTATAGTTTTGACGTGATCAAGAGATCACTGAGTAAGTAAAATCTTCTTAATTCTACGAACCTGCTTAATATGACTCGTTATTTTGTTGTTGTTTTACCTTTCGGGTTCAAATACTTTATTACAAAAGTGAAGATGAAGTAATCCTTTTTTGTTTAATATAGGTCAAATGTCATCTTTCATAAATTATCTTGGCGATGAAAGAGTCTAGGAAGAAGATGACTTTGAGTTCATCAACGTTTGTGAGGCTAAAGTTAAGGCAAAGGTGTCTCTCACCGGACCGTTTAGTTTACGTGTTGAAAAGCTATCCCTAATTTAAAGCTACTAAACAAAGAGACGGGGGGGGGGTAAATAGTTAGTCTACGCGACTACCATTAACTGTATAATGGAACAGACTGTCACATTATAAGCTGACGTAGCTGAAAGTTTGAAGCGGAATATCGCTACTCAAACCACGGACCTTTAGACCTGCAGTCCAGCATTAGATAACACCATATTACTTAGTTTTGTACTCAAACTCTTCATTTTAATACAAACTATCGTGGGTTGGTACGCTTCGAAAGTTTTTATTATTATTCTCACTAAACCAACAGTTTCGTTAACAACTTTAAATAGTTTGTTACCTTTTACAAATGTTTGGAAATATTTTCTTTCCTTTACTACCGAAGTTAATTCTTCAAAAAGTTGACAAGATACTGATATGGATCCATGATATATTAATGGAAAATATTTTAGCATAAAAATTCCAAGCTAGTCACATTATTGAGGCCTTTTAACAAATTATGAACGAATCACATGGGAATTCCTTGTCACTCAAATGACAATTCATTTTCTAAGACATTTATCCTCTTTTCCGTTACCGTCTAATAATGGAATGCATGGCCTTAGTTTCAGTATATCTCCAGTTTTTAATTGAAAATTAATTCGTTAATGGGTTTCGTATAACAAAAGGAAAGATTAGTCATTTTCCCTAAATCAACTGCTCTTGTCTTTTAAAATCAGTTCTAGTTTCCCTGAAAGGAGGCTGAAAGCCTACTGAAAGAGCCACCTGCTTAAACTGCTCGCATCGCTATACAGTAATGTGTTGTCTGTCAGTCAGTCAGTAGACACTAAAATGACGGGACGCTTAACGTTGTAATTTGTACTGTCTTGACGTCAGTAAAACATGCGCATCCATGAATCACGAGAATGATTATGAACTCTGTAGGCTACAACACAACATGATATACGAACTTCAAAAGCAAGAAATAGAAATATATGTTACTCTTAATTTTGGTTTTACTTACTCTTGAAACAGAGCACTTTCGGGGACCATGCGGAAGTACATTTAGTTATCAGAAAGATGCTAGAACGATGAAAGTTAACACAGACCACTTATTCAGCACAGATATAAAAAATATTTTAAAACCTTAATTAGAGTTACTTGTTCAAGGTATTGTATAAAACAATGCTAGATTTTGGCTTAAAAATTGTTTTACCTAAGAAAAGCCTTTAACACCATTTATTATAGTACATATCGGTATATATTTTGACCTATTTAATCAACTTTGAATAGTTTATCATTTTTCTTGCTGTTTCATAGCTAACTTTAATCAAAACAGACGCACCAAAAGTTTCAGTGACGCTGAGACGTGGACAGGAAGCAAAACAGATTCAAACCGGAGATGACGTTCACCTTCAATGTCAGTACAAGTCTAACCCGGAAGTATTGAAGATCAAATGGCAGTTTCAAAGTGACACACTGAAAACGAACATACGAACTGGAATCTTTGTTCGTAACCAATCTCTTATCATGAAAAATGTGACAAAAGAACAGAGTGGCACCTACCGGTGTTTTGCTGAAAATAGAGAAGGTCGAGGATATAGTGAAGGTTTAGAGATTGTCGTTAAATGTACGTTTCTCAATTTTCTTCCCGGTTAAGATTCTTTAAAATTACAACTTTATTTAAAATAGAATTGTTTAATGTGTCAGAATTTTGATATTCTAATACTGATAGGCTTATTTTTAAACACCATAAGTAACAGTCATATATACAGATCTACCCATATATCATTGTTCATCAAGATAGGATAAATTATTACTTCATAATTTATTTTAATAGACAAACATGTTTTTAGTCCTGTTCACAACTTCGGTTAATTTGGGTTCAAGATAGAACTATATTTTATACATATTAAGGAAGCACTTTCCATTTCTATGATGTGATTATAAAAGTCATTTTAAACTATTGATGACAAAGTGACCACTTTTCGAAAGCTTTTGGGTCATTTTTGTTTGGACGTTTTATCTTGCCGCAGATGCACCCGTATGTAAGAAGGGTCAGAAAATTGCTTATGCTGTCACAGTGAATGAACTGGTTGAAGTGTCCTGTGAAGTTGAGTCTGACCCTGATGATGTCATATTTATATGGACGATTAACAACACTATGGGCAGTCGAGAGCTTCTGACTTTTACCACCTCTGGTTTAAAGAGCTTTGCCCGTTATATACCACGTGAAGAGAACGATTTTGGATTCTTAGCCTGCCAAGCTCAGAATCAGATCGGTGCACAAGTAGATCCTTGCATTTTCACTTTGATTCCGGTCGGTAAGTAAACTTTCTGTTACTTTTAGAACAATAACGAATCAATTTAATCGGTTAAGAGCTTAGTAATTATTGTGTGTACCATGGAAATAATTTTTTAACAAAATATTTTCTTATTTTTAACTAAATTTGGTGGAAATATTAAGAGTAAAGAAAATTTTTGAAAATAGGTAATTTGTTGTCAGTGAAACGAAGGCTAACATTACTTTGTTTTTCTGAAAATAAATTATGATACAGTCACATTTCGTAGATGGAATGAGACAGGGTATGCTGGATCTGTCCATTAAACTATCGCTCATAATGTGGATATATATATGGAGATTCCTGTAAAACCTAGTTCTCTTTCATATACAAAACTCTGAGTTAGAGTAAATCAAAATTAATTACCTTACGCTATAAAAATTGTGTATGTAAAGGTAGAAAAAATCATGAAATTTAGTCCGGCTCTAAGTAACTGTGCTTATTATAAGATCTAAAACACTAAAGTGCTTTAATAAGGTTTTTGTTCGCATTGAATAAAACAGAGTTTTACCAGAACTCTGAGAATAGCAGCTATAATAGAAACATTTCAAGTAAAGTATAAGAATGATTTACTGATTTGGTTCAGGTCCTCCAAGCCCCCCTTACAACTGTAGCATTTCGAATTCGACCAACTCCACCTTACTCGTGGAATGCAGCCCTGGCGTTGATGGCGGTCTACAACAAATATTTCACGTCGAGGTTTTTCTCTTACCTAGAAGACAACTTCAAGCCAATCTGTCGAACTTCAATCATCCGTTGTTTTTGCTCTCAACTCTTCCATCAGAGGCTCATCTTCTTCTCTCGATATACTCATCTAATAACAACGGTCGTAGTGCTATGGTAACCCTGACTGCACATACTGTAGCATCTCTAAGCACGAAGCCGCGTAAGTATAAAATGCAACCTAGCTAAAAGACAGTTGCAATATCAATTTTAACATCGAAGAAGAACTGTATATATTTTTCCTTCTTAAGATTGATTCATAAATTTTCTGCTTTCAAATGATAAATAACGCATGGATTTATAACATTTCTCCGTACTTTTAAAACATGAAACTTGGCAGGCATAATAATTAACGTTAAGAAAAATTCTACTTGTAAAATAAGAAAAAAAAAGATGTTAGTATTATGAGAAGCCTTTAGCTTCCTAGATTTTTGTTACCTTTATTTTCTCTGTAGGTTTGTGTTTGAATTAAGTTTGCTTAGTCTCGAAACGTCTCAAGTGACACATGGCATTTCTTATTTTTCTGTCGTCTCTTCAGTTTTGTTTTTGTCTTGCTTTTGTTTAGTCTAGAAATGTCCTTATATGACAAATATTTGTTTCAGACTCGTGGTCACCAAAAGTCATTTTATAGCTAAGTTTTATTATTTCTTTAGTAATGCTGCCAAAATAAATGTTGTACGAGATTAAACCCACTTAGTTCTATTTGTGATATTGATTTTGTATATTTAAATAAATATCGTTCTGACACCTACTGTGTTTTTTGTGTCCCAGCCAGTCTGATGAGCTCTGTTTTGAGCGAAACGCGTCATCAGAAAGAGACGAATGTAGTATGGTTGAAATTCTGTTATTAAATATTTTCTAAATAACATTGAAAATCTATAAGAGACTAGATAAAGAGTGTAGTGTTAAAAATATAATAGACCTAGTACTAATGCCTTACGACAAGTAGAATTAATTATTTTGAACATGTTTGTATAAATAATCAAATATTTAATCTTTAATTTAGTTTTTTTCTCTGCTTATATTTTTGTAGTGATTACTTTGTTTAGTCGCACTTTCATCCTGTTTTAATATTTCTTCTATACCTTAACTGGATGTCACACATAGAAACCACATTCCGTCACAATAAATATTAATAAAAGTGAATTCTGAGAATCACATGTTTCATGTTTTGTTTTCAAAGAAAGTGGGTTTAACTTCCGGAGAGCTCTCGTCATCTGAAGTATTTAACTGTGGTTTAGATTAACTACTGGCCTGGCATGGCCAGGTGGTTAAGGCACTCGACTCGCAATCTGAGGGTCGCGGATTC